CAAGGATAGCCCAAGTTGTTATCAACGCTCCGTTCAGAAGCCTGCATCACTGATGGTATGGGGTTGCATGAGCGCTTGTGGCATGGGCAGCTTGCATGTCTGGAAAGGCACCATTAATGCAGAGAACTATGTTCAGGTTCTAGAACAACATATGCTCCCATCTAGACGTCATCTCTTTCAGGGAAGACCCTGCATTTTTCAACACGATAATGCCAGACCACATTCTGCAGCAATCACAACATCATGGCTACGTAGGAGAAGGATCCGGGTACTGAAATGGCCAGCCTGCAGTCCAGATCTGTCACCTATAGAGAACATTTGGCGCATCATAAAGAGGAAGGTGCGACAAAGAAGGCCCAAGACGATTGAACAGTTAGAGGCCTGTATTAGACATGAATGGGAGAGCATTCCTATTTCTAAACTTGAGAAACTGGTCTCCTCTGTCCCCAGACGTCTGTTGAGTGTTGTAAGAAGAAGGGGGGATGCCACACAGTGGTAAAAATGGACTTGTCCCAACTTTTTTGGGATTTGTTGACTCCATAAAATTTGGAAACAACAGATTTTTCCCTTAAAATGATACATTCTCTCAGTTTAAACTTTTGATCTGTGATTTGTGTTCTATTCTGAATAAAATATTAGATGTTGGCACCTCCACATCATTGCATTCAGTTTTTATTCACAATTTGTTTAGTGTCCCAACTTTTTTGGAATCCGGTTTGTAGTTCTGACTTTGAAATCTGAGGTTCTCTACAAAACCACACCTTAAAATCCAACATGGCTGCCTCTTCCGTTAAAAAAAAATTGTTCAATACACTGAATACATCAGTCACACACAACTGTTGTCCACATATTGCCACACATGGCTAATGTTGCTTGGCACAGCATTTTCTGATAAGCACCTGCTGAGATGAAATTTACTCTCAGTGACTGTGTAGTCATTTAATGTAAACTCAAAGGTTATTAAAAAATGGTCAGACAGAATAGGATTTTTAGGAACTATTATCAAGTCCTTAATCTCTATACCATAGGTCAGAACTAAATCAAGAGTGTGATGATAAGAATGAGTAGATGTGCAGACGTTTTGGGTAAAACCAAATGAGTCTATTCAATTATTAAAGGCTATGCTTAAACTATCACTTTCAACATCTACATGAATATTGAAATCACCCATTATGATGATTTTATCAGTATTTAATAGTAAGTCAGTTAAGAATTCTGAGAATTCGGACAAAAACAGAGTAAGCGCCTGGTGGACGATATATAACAACTATAAAGTTCCTGGAGAAACCTTGACGGGGGCTGCCAGGCTGCTGCCAATTGGAGTTTAAAAATTTATTTATTTTTCATCTTGAGATCCTATGTTGTCATCAACTACCTGAGTTTTATTATGTTAATGTCGAGTTTAAAAATTATGTAGTCGTTCAACCCCTAGTGTTGACCTGCATATGACAAATAAACAACATACAGAAAAAGTGTGAAACAGGTGTGTAACAAATAGAAGACAGATGTTACCATAGTTCAGAGCCTCAGGTGCGGTCCATTTAATGGGAATCTGTTTGAGACCAGAGGAAGAATAAACTCCATCGTCTTCCTGTCTACTCATCCCAAAATCACTGATCTTCAACACACTGTTGTCTCCAACTAGACAGTTCCTCGCCGCCAGGTCCCTGAGACACACAGGTTTACAAAGACATGTCCACCAATCGCAAACTGTATCACGTTTCATGACTTTAACCGAAGTTACCTGTGGATGCAGTTTTTACTCTCCAGGTATGACATGCCAGCAGCAGCATCTACTGCAAAGCGAAGAAGCTGCTTAGTTTTCAGTTCATCTTTCTTCTTTCTTAGAAAGGAAAGGAAGTCTCCACCTATAAGGTTTAGAAGTGAGACAAAATAACCAAGTGAAGACTGACCAATAAGAATCCTACAATACAAAAAGAGTAATTAGGCTCCACCCACCTGGAACAAGCTCCATGACTATGTAGATCGGCTGCCGCTGTGTACAAACACCAATCAGCTTCACAATATTGGGATGATCATACTGCTTCAGGATTCTGAAACCAATCAGAGAGAGAGACAGGGTCAGACAGCAGCCAATTAGAGAGAGA